AATTGCTTGGAGCAGTAATGGTCAGAGGTTCTGTTTCAATACAGTCCGGGCCACTATCAGTCCTGCTGGTCCAGTGCAACCAGTAAGGGAAGTCATGGTAAGTCAGTTGGGGACTTGCAAAGGTGTTAGTCAGGGTTCCACTTAGTCATTGTCAGAGCTGTCTGTACAAGTCATCTGGAGGCTGGACCATGGTCACTCCTGTTCACTGAAAATCAAAAGGGGATTATTGGGGCATTTGCTGTAGTTGTGAAGTTGAGGAAATCAATTATGGGATTGGATACAACATGCTGGGATACACAGGAGATGACAGTTGTGAAGGTTGCAATCATTGTATAAGGATGGCAAATGAACATAGGAGAGCATGAGGTAATGTGGAGGAGATGGAAGTCATTGACAGTAATCGCCATTTTGGCTTCACTGGGTGGGCACTACATTACAATGTTTGGCATAACTAAACTATATGCCTAGAGATCAGGAGATAAACTAGGAAGATGAAGGATTAAAAAAAATAATTGGATGAGAAGGTGGGAAAAATTAAATCTGATGGAGTTGACAGGGAGGGGAAGGCATAAAGGAACTCAAAGGTTTGGAGATTCACTAGATTGTCTTGCTGTGACTGCAACTCATTCCTGGGAGCACAAACTGTGTCATCTTCCAAATTCATCCAAATCAAAATGGGATAGATTTTGAACAGATCCAGAAACTCAGGATTGGGCGTTCAACTGGGCACTGTAGCCATCAGCAGCAGCAGCAGAATTCTACTGAAACATAATTTGAAACCGCATACCATGCATACCAAAAACTTACTTAAGGCATTAGATGCTGCAAAGTCTGTGGGCCCTGAAAACATTCCTGTTGTAGCACTGAAAACTTGTGCTTCAGAACTTGCCACAACCCCACCCAACACTGTGCAGAATTACCTAGGTGTGTTCTTGCATAAAACAGAATGAATATTGTCAAGCTAATTACTGCTCCATCAATCTACTCTTAGTCATCAGTAAAGTAGTGGAAGAGGTCATTAACAGAGCTATTGAGCAGCACCTGCTGAACAATAGCCTGCTCACTGACACTCTGTTAGAGTTCCACAAGGGTAGCTCAGTTCCTGACCTCATCACAGACTTGGGTCTGGACAAAATAATTGAATTCCAAAGGGAAGGTGAGAGTGAATGTCCTTGACATCAAGGTCACATTTGGCTGAGTGTAGCACCAAGGGGCCCAAGCAAAACTGGTGTCAATAGAAACCTGGAGAACACACCAGCTGGTTAGAATCATGCCTGGCACAAAGGAAGATGGCTACGATGATTGGAGATTATTCACCTTGGCTTCAGGACATCTCTACAGGAATTTCTCAGGAGGGTGTTCTATGTAGAATCACCTTCAGCTGCTTCATCAATGACCTTGCCTTTATCATATGGTGATAACTGGGGACATTCTCTGACGATTCACTATGCAGGCTTGGGTTGACAAGTGGCAAGTAACAGCACACCACAGGAGTGTCAGGCAATGATCATCTCCAACAAGAGAATATTTGACCGTGAATTCTTGACATTCATGAATATCATCAATGATTCAAGATGGTGCGAACACCATCCAGCTCCTTGCAAGCTCCCTACAGCAGATCTAACTCTAACATTTCTCATAACTGTTCTATGTCCTTGCTTACTATGATCTGCTTCACTGCCCGTGAACAAAACTTTTCACTGTACTTAGGTACATGTGACAATAAATAAATCAAATCATCACTGAATCCGTTAGTATCAACATCCTGCGTGGCATCATTGTTCAGAAACTGAAGCGGACTATCAATAGAAATACTGTGATGATAAAGGCAGGTCAGACGCCAGGAACCTTGCAGCGAGAGAACTCTCGACTCCCCAAAGTCTGGCTACGCTTTACAATGTTAAAAATCACATGACACTAGGTTGTAGTCCAAAAGGTTTTTTGAAAGAATCAAGCTTTCAGTGTCTCACTCCTTCTCTGAAAGCTTGTGTCTTTAAATAAACCTGTTGGACTGTAACCTGGTGTTGTGTGATTTTTAACCTTATCCATCACAGTCCAACAGTAGCACCTCCACATCACACTCTTTACAATGCACAGGTCAGTATTGTGATGGAATATTTCACATTTGTCTGGATGAGTGTAGCTCCAACAACACTCAAGAAGCAGCCTTCTCGATTGGCATCATATCCACAAACATCCATTCCCTCCACCACTGTCATTCCATATCAGTAGTGTACAGCATCTACAAGATGCACTGCAGAAATTCACCAAGGGTCCTTAGACAGCACCTTCGAAACCCATGACAACTGACATCTAAAAGGGTAAAGCTAGCAGATCCAGTAGAGCACAATCACCCTGCCAAGTTCCCTCCAAGATACTCATTATCCTAACTTTGAAATCTAACACCACGTCATGGTGTCATTGGGTCAAAATCCTGGAATTCTTCCTCTACGGGAGAACTGTGGGACACTTACACCAAGTGGACTGCAGGAGTTCAGAAAGCAGCAAAACCTTCTCAAGGGCAGTCGTGGAATGGTCAATAAATGCTGGCCTAGCCAGCGACATACCCATCCCATGAATGAATTTAAAAAAAGAAAAATGGTCGCTACCATATTTGGTACGGATGGACTAGGTTTTTTTTTACATCTCTGAGAAGATGAGCCATTTCAGGATCTTCAAGGGTCAATTACATTAATCAGATACACAGTACAGCTTAAAGACATCTGTTATCACAGAATTCAGGATGTGAACATTTTGCACTGACCACATTGTTCAACTGAAAATCCTGGCCACAAAAAATCTTGACCATGTAATTGAACATTACAAATTAATTCTAGTAATGTCCATGAAGAAGAAGTAATTTCAAGTGAGTTGTAAATTTTGATCTACAATCGGCAAACACTTTCCAAGATCTTGTAGCCTGCAAAGCTACAGGAGCTGCTTACTTCACTTTTGGACCACAAAATGAGCACACCATTATATGAAATACAATGTTTTCTTCTTGGAGTAATCTTCAGATGGGGATGGGAAGGAAGAAGATCTCTTCGCCTTACCACACTTACAATCTCCTATTGTTTTGATGGCAAATGGCTCAGGCAGCATACATCTGAATCAGGTCTACAATGTGAAAGGTCCATGTAGTGGTATCCCATTGCTTTCCTTGTCAGAGACCTTCATGTCCCAAAATTTCAAAAGTGATGTTTAAATGTCAATGAAGGCCATAAGATGCTTCCTCAGCATGAGTATTCCATGCTTTTCAGGGCTGGGGTTCACTGACAGAGGACCACCCTTTAATCATATGGTGTTTTACTGTGGATAACTGGAGAAAAACCTAAGGCAAGTGCCCAACAAGGGAACCCTTGAGAGCTGCAACATTGCACTGAGTAGGAAAATTAGGATGTTCATCAGAAAGAACAGTGACTTCATTCTCTAAATCATTGGAACCAGTTCTGGTGAAGGTTGGATCTGTACAAGCTGGTCAGATCACATCTTAACAGGATTGAGACAAATATCCTCAAAGACAGATTTGCTGGTGTGATGGGGCTGGTTAGCATGTCAATAGGGTGAGATCTTGAGGGGTAAACCAAATTGGACAGGAGTTAATCTGGTAACGGGAAGTAGAAACGCTGTGAGGGAGACTAGAAGACAGGAGAAACAAAGCTGATTATTGAGAACGTCTCGAGTGTGGAATGATTTCAAACGGGCAAAGTTAAGGGCACGCTACCTGAATGTCGCAGCAGTTGTAACAAAGTGAATAATCTAAAGGCACAAATGGAAGAAAATGGCAATGGTATAATTGCCATTACAGAAATCTTGAAAATGAATATTCATCCAGTGGCATAACAACTTTGCTATTGTCTCAGTACAATAAACAATGAGTCAGAGTAAGTGCATTGTAATTACAACATATTCTCAGTGCAGTGAAAAATGATGTTCGCTAAATTCTGTCTGTAGTTATAAGCATTAAAGGAATTTTCCATATTACATTCAGGGCCAAAGGTTATTTGATATGAATATGTAATTTGTATGCAGAAACTTATTTGAAGTGTTTATTATAGCGACAATGATGTTATGTGAACTTAGATCCCAACTGAATGCAGCGTTCTGTGTCTGTATCTACATTATATAGCAAAAGATTGTGGGATACGTAAAGTGCAGACCTTTTGTTGTACACAAAGATAATTCAGCACCTGACTTTGGGAAGTAATATAACCAACTAATTGCAAGCTATTCCCTATCCCATAGCTTGCAACCAACAATTACATTCACCTTCCTTTGTTTTGTTCCAAATATCTGATGCAGGTAGAATTATACATGCTACAAGAGTGTTTTCTGTGCTGTTCCCAGCACCCTTGCTCGGTAATTTAAACTCTTATTTTTCAATTCAACTCTTGTTGTAGCAAATTGGCTGAGGTGCAGTACCGATGTAGGTGTAATCTCTTCACGATGGTAATGAAGCTGAAGGTGTGTGTTATTTTAGCACATACAAGCTGTGACATCTCGTGTGAAAAATTCTGCGGTACCTTGCTGCTTAAATCTGTAACTGCATACATCATATCATTAATGCTTCTCTGATAACCTGCAAAACCTGTTCCCTTTAACTGTTTGTTGCCGGAAGCAAGCTGAGTTTCAGCAATCACTAAGGAGCCAACACATGACGGGGAGCAAAGAAGGTGGAGGGGATCTGCATTGTACAATGAATATGGTATGCAGAGCTTGAGTTGTTATATTAATATATTAACATATATTTTATAATTTTGGCAAGCAAGTTGTGGTAATTTATACTAAAAAGCTTTCTGTACTGATTTCCTTACTGAAATAAATTAACATCAGGGGAAAAATTGCCATTTATTTGCTATTACAACTAGTTTGGAAGCAATATTGAAAAATTTATAAATAAAATTATATTATTTAATAAAGTATTAAATACATGGACAGCATGTTCATAGTTCTCAACAAGGCAGTCTTAAATAAAACGTGTGTTTCCATTAACCAGACAGATAACTTTCCTGAAAAATGTGGAAGAACTTGGAAAATGTGGCATTCTCTTTGTCTTCTGGATATCTCCAAGTGTTCCACTGTCCACTAAGTATTTTATGAACTGTATTCATTCCTGTAATCCAGATTAATACAGGAGTCAATTTGGTCTCACATACAGTAATGAAATCAATGACAGGTACTTTGGCCAGCACATCAGGAAAACACCTTGAGTCTTCTTCAATTTTGTGCACTGTGATCTTTTACATCCACCCAGAAGTGAGACAGGGCTTGCTTTTTCAGGTCACTTCCAAAAGACAGCATCTCAATAATGTACCACTCCCTCACTGTTTACTGAAGCATCAAATTAATAATGGGCTCAAGTCCCTGGAATGGGGCTTGAGCCCACAACTTTCTGACAGAAAAATAAAAGTGCTATTACTGAACAAGACTTGAGTAAAATAAATTCTAAAAAGACAGTAGTCACAATCCACAGTCACATACTTCCTCTCTGAACATTAAATGCACATAATACTTTACTTGCTTCAAGTACCTTTATTACAATTGCGAACTCCAGTACAAAGCCTTATTTTTATAAATTTTATCCCAATACATATGGCATTTACTGAATTATAATTGTGACATTTTAGAAAAACATGAATGTTGGATAGTAATATTTCCACTGTCTCCCAATTTCCGATCATGTCTGTTGAGGGCAGAGGCTCCAGGACGTTCAGAAATGGTGTACATGCAGGAAATCAGAATGATAAAGAAATTTATCGAAATGCCTAGCAAGTGGGGCAACCTCTGTGTAAAGAAAAACAGAAAGAATGTTTCAGATTAATGACCATTAATCACCTGCTGGCCAGTGAGATAAGGGCCAGATATAAGACATGTTAGGATATTAACTTTTAGTTTGACTTTCACTTCTTAACACTTCTATGAAGTGCAACTCTTTTGCAGGCTGATGTTTTATATCTCGTTCTTCCTTTACAACAATATAAGTCAGAAAATAAAATGTTTTGATAAAATAAGTAATTGGCAATGTTACTGTAATTTCATGCACCTTCATGACAATTTAATTCATTTGATTTAAGCCTGTCCTAATGTTGCATGTAGAGATGGCCAAATTATTGCTTTGCTTGTGACTTGCTTTAGATCAAGTCAGAGTCATGCTGGTCCTTCGGCCCAACTCGTCTATATTGACCAGGTTTCCTAAATTGAACTATTCCCATTTACCTGCATTGAAACCATATCCCTCTAAATCTTCCATATGTATGTGCCTGTCCAAATGTGTTTAAATGTTATAATTCTGAATGAACCTTTGTTTTCCTACTAAACCATAGAGTGTGATGCACCTGAACCAGTGAAGAGAAGTGAGAGTTGATTTTGCCTTTGTGGGTAGTGTTGCAAGTGTAAATTGTTGATACATGTGTGGACCAAAAATTATGTCAATTCAATACCTGTTGCCAATATCATTTGGCCAGTTGTTTAACTACTGTCTTAGGCTTACCAGCAAAACAGGGCTGTGCAAATTAAATTATATCTGCTTAAATATATCCTAAACTGCAAATGGCAGGCATGACCAAAAATGTAGGAGGGAGCGAAAAGCCAGAGGAGGAGAACGTGAGTTCTGTACTTAAAGCAACCAGTGAGTGGTTCTGTTTGAATCAGCTTGAAGCTGCAGAGCATTTGCAAAGGATATAAAACTAGTTCAATAACCGGAATTCTTTATTCAGTGCAGTGCTGTGTATTTAATCAAAATGGTAAAGAAAGATCTAATATGACAGGTGATCTTTAGGGCTACAAAACAACTAAGAGCAAGTTTATGTCAGATTGAAACTTAGTTCAGTGACAGATACCTCAACAGCACCAGAACATGTGATCAGACTTAAAAACTGCTAATTAATCTTTACAAAAGTCTAGCTTGGGAAGCTAAGGTGTCTTACAATTTGATTTAATGCCTAGCCTTGTGCTGTAAATGTACATCAGTCTTTTCTAAATGTTTTTGTCAGTCTAACTGTAAATGGCAATTATGTATATGACCAACAAGTATTAAAGACAAGACATAAAGGGCACAATTTTACCTCTCTGGAATGCTGAGGGAAGTGTTAACAATTGTGTGAATTGGCCCCAAAGAGAAATTCACCATCTTGCTAAGTAAATTCTGCACAAGAAGGGACATGAGCAAACATCTCACCCTGTCACCAATTAAGCCCTTCATGTGGTCAAAATGTTTGGCTACTTAAAAGCTTCAACTCCTACTTTCCCAACCACCAACTTACCAAGTGGATGAGAAATGAGGCTGGTTTACCAACCGGGAAACCACGGTGATCCCCACTGGCTGGTTTGAGGAGGGGAGCCTCCAATTGTCTGAATCCGATGAGGCTCAGAAAGCCATATCCTGCCCTTGCTCTGACCCCTGCCTTCCCCAACAACCCTCACCCTGTGAGAGGAGTATAATAGGTGCTTAACTTTTCATTACTGGATTCTTCAAGAATTGGGCCTCAACCAGCTGACCTTTGCACCCAGAAGGTGCATGCCTCTGATTGGCCAACAGCTTCTGGTGACCCAGGATAACAATATCAAGGCCTGTGGTTAGGTGGGAAACTCCCCCACACTTATCAGTCAGCTCTTAATGAGCTGATTGGCAAATAGTTGGACAGGTTCCCACAGCAACAGTGATGGGGTATACATGTTGTCACCTGACACACTCACTCCCACAACATTAACAAAAGAAAACTGGGGAAATTCCATCTGTAGGTATTTCATAAATATTGTCCAAAAAAGTAACCTTTATCGCTTTTCAAGAAAGGTGGTGACTTGAACAGCTTGATGCAACCAATTGATTGAAATTGTTAAAGAAATTATTTCCACAAACATTGCATAAGATATGCACAGGCAAAATTATACATGACAACTCCCAGGAAAAATATAAAAGAAAAATATTTGCATTGAAACTATTGCTAAAAGCATAAGACTATTTCATTGGACCATTTCACTAACAACATTATTTATCAAAGAATTGAAAGTATTATTTTTTCATTATTTTTATTATCTAATAAATATAAGCAGACAGCTCAAATGTACAGCAGAATGTACAGTTTTAACCTGTTTAAACTGCTCTATTTACAATATGAAGTAGTCCCTGCAGCACAGGGGAAATGATTGTGTTGTGTTAATGTTGCTGGACTAGTTATTTAGAGGCACAGGCTATTGCTCAGGGGACATGGGCTCAACTCTCACGATGGTGGCTGGTGAAATTTAAATTCAATGAATAAATGTGAAATTTAAAACTAGTCTCAGAAAATGATGACCATGCACTTAACCTTACCATATTTTTGCGGTGTCAATTTCATCGAATTTCATGGAGGATTTATCCCCGTAAGACCTGGCAAGTTTTCTTACACAATCGTCGCAGGCACATCTGATTAATTACCTACGACAATCCTATGGCATGCTTTTTGTCTGACTTTCCCGCTCTCTGCAGCTACAGGAACTTACCACTGACCAGATGTCATAGAATAGACTGGCATTCCTGGTGCCAATGTCATATTTGAAAAGCCATGTGTACCTGGACAAATGCTGGTTTTCCAGAGCTGCCCTGCATGGCTGCACCCAGTTTGGCGATGGGATGACAGACGAGGGGATTTCATACCCAGCTTTATGGACAGGGACTTTGGTATCCTGGTGGATGGGGTGGTGCAGAAAAAAGATGTCGTCTTTGCACAGCACTGACAGAGGAGACCACACAATTTGACCCTGTCAGCCTGGTCTGAAGCCACCACCCTGGGCAGGGATGGTCTCCAAAGCTTGAGGAACTCCTAGTCATGTAAAAAGGAAATCGCTTTGAGCAATTTAGCTGGGCAGCCCCAAGCAATGACTCTTGACTAATATCCATATGTGGAGGTGCCGGTGTTGGACTGGGATGGACAAAGTCAGAATTCACATGACACCAGGTCATAGTCCAACAGGTTTATTTGAAAGCACAAGCTTTCGGAGCGTAGCCCCTTCACCAGGTCAAGTCTTCACCTGACGAAGGGGCTATGTTCCAAAAGCTTGTGATTTCAAATAAACCTGTTGGACTATTATCTGGTGTTATGTGAATTCTGACTTTGACTGGTATCTGTACAACTCCCTGACTGTGTTCCAGGACTCCCCTGTTTGGCTCCATTGGACCCACAGGGCTGACCATAACCCATTTCCCAAACTGTACAGATATGATTTCCCGATCTTAGCTTCCAAATCGAATGTCTAACCATTTCCAGCCCCAAGACTGATATCAAAGGCTGCCCCATGCTGGTATCTTCAGACGTCACTGTGCCCCCTAAAACATTGAGACCTGGCCATTTGCTGACAGCACATTGACTGCGTTTGCTGTGTATGCTGCTGTACCATGGTACAGCTGTGAGATTGAAGTAGCATAGTGCGATAAAGCAACATTCTGGCTGCTAACAACCATGACAAGTACCACAAAAACCCAAAAGAACTACAAGTGCTGGAAATCAGACACAAAAACAAAAATTGCTGGAAAAAACTCAGCAGATCTGGCAGATTCTGTGGAAAGAAAACTGAGTTAATGTTTCGGGTCCAGTAACCCTTCTTCAGAACTTCAGAACAAGTATCCTGGCTTTATGTTAACATTAAACAGCAAGGCAATACAGCAGATCTTTGAGCCCTTAAGCTCTATTTGAGGTACTAAAGTGCAAAATGGAAGGGCAAAGCCATGCTGTGAGCATTGAAGTAGTGATTGAGCCCTAAGAGAGCTGGCTAGCAGCCCTGATATGCAGCCTGTTTGAATCTGTGAGCTGGGTCACTGCGAAGTGTCCATGCAGATGTATGCCAATGATAGTTGCCAGGTGTGCTCCAAAGTGCAACATTACAGTACAGAGCTGTACTTTAATTAGGTCGGAAATGGAGCACGGAGGTTAGAATGTGTTGAATGCCTTTGTCTACGGAGTTAGGGTGTGTGTGGTCACTGCCCTGGAGCGTGCCCTGAGAGGCTGGTGCCAGGTGTGCAAATTGGCAATCTGGAGGAGAAATCAGTGAGCTGTATGAAATTTTGCATTTAGTTTCCTTGTGGTAGGTGGTACAATAGAAATCTGCATATTAAAGAGGCAAGATTTGCATTTAGTCAGAGTGAAAGCAAGCAATGAATCTCATTAATAGAAACTCACTGCTGCCTAGTGAGATCCCTATCTTGATGCACAGAAGTATTTTGGAAGATGCAGCTAGATTCTTCTGTCATTGAGAGAGGTCTTGTATAACTTTTTACATGATTCATCCAGATTTCTCACCATGCACACATTGTTCAGGGTCTAGTCATATCAGAATGAATCTATCAGAGACAGTAGGAACTGCCGATGCTGGAGAATCTGAGACAACGAGTTGTAGAGCTGGATGAACACAGCAGGCCACCAGCATCAGAGGAGCAGGAAAGCTGACATTTCGGGCATAGACCCTTCTTCAGAAATGGGGGAGGGGAAGGGGATTCTGAAATAAATAGGGAGAGAGGGGGAGGCGGATGGAAGATGGATAAAGGAGAAGATAGGTGGAGAGGAGACAGACAGGTCAAAAAGGCGGGGTTGGAGCCAGTAAAGGTGAGTCTAGGTGGGGAGTTAGGGAGGGGATAGGTCAGTCCAGGGAGGATGGAGAGGTCAAAGGGGCGGGATGAGGCTAGTAGGTAGGAGATGGGGGTGGGGCTTGAGGTGGGTGGAGGGGAGAGGTGGGAGGAAGGACAGGTGGGGGGCCGGGGACGGGTTTTGGGATGCGGTCGGGGGAGGGGAGATTTTGAATCTTGTGAAGTC